TACAACTCGCCCACGTAAACAACGGTTCTTTAGTTAAAAATTAGTTACCGACTTTTGCTGATTATTTTTTGGATGTACTTTCGGTGCAGTGACTTTTTTCCACCTCCACCTAAAGTTCGTTCGCGAAGACGTTTTTTAGTATTAATATTTTTATTAAGAATCTTGATTTTCTTTAAAAACACTCTGGATTAGCTCGAATTTTACACAAAAGTGGTAGACTTTCACTAATATTTTTAAAATGATGAACAATTAGTAACACAGTTTAGAGCTTGGTATAATGTGTCATTTTACTCGACTTTGTGTGCTATTAGTGGAGTTTACAGAATGCATGTAACATTTTTTTTCATGCATCGATATGCAGTTTAAGCTTAGTTCTTAAGCTTTTTTTTAATATTGTATGTTTAAGACATAACGAAAGTGAGACCCAATATATTAAAACTTTCTTACAGTCGCAATAAATATTGCCTTTCCTTTCAACACAACGAATCTCAGTGAATTCTATTTAGTGGTTTCCGCGAGTAAAGAATTTTCCATTCCCATGCGTTTGGTTAAGAGCTCCCAAGCCAAACTTATTCGCGGTATTTTATTTCATTTCTCTTTTAAAGAACACTAAGTAACGTTGTCAGAACCTATATGCTCAACCATCGCACAAGGTACAAGAGCGTCAAAGGCTGTGTCTTGCCCATGGAATGAATTTTACAACTGACCGTCTTCTCTTCCGGCTCGGTGAATACTACTATGCAATGTGCACTGTTCCACATCATCGCGAATTTTTACTGCATATGGACGATCCGTGGATCTTTAGGGAGCAATAGGGACAAATTAAATATAAAGAGGGCAGACCAATCGACCTTCGACGCACTCCTCCAGCCGGCTACTTCGCGATGGCCATGTGAAAGCAAGCAAGAGGGCATTAGAAACAATAGAACTCATTTTGTTAGATTTCCAGGCATTCATAGAAGGAAGATCTTGTTTCCAAAGTACAATATTCTCAACTTCACAAGTACCCTTAGGTCTCGGGAAAATACTTGTACTTGTGCCTTCTCCATCTGAGCCATGTGAAATTTTCGAATATCTCTGCATGCTCCTCAAGGACATTACCTTAAGTGATCAACTGTAAACTGGCATACATCACAACCAGTACGTTCCAACAAGAACCTGCCACAATCACACATGTATTTCTTCTTTTTTTTCTTTTCCTGCCCTCCTTTTTTTATGGGGGCTATCTGTCTTTATTCCCCTTCCACAACCCAGAATAGCATGAGACGCCTTCACATATACGCAGGCAAATTTCACAATTCTTCAATAAAGGGATTTTCTCTCTTTCTCTCCAACATACAAGCTAAAAAGAAAGAAAGAAAGAAATGAAGAAAGAGAGAAAGAAAGAAAGAAACGAAGGAAGAAAGAAAGGAAGAAAGAAACTGCTTTAACACAATGACAATGGCGCAGGTACAGCGAGCACGTGGGAAGAATGCGAAGCAGATATCGTCAAGCATTGGAGAGAACGGCGCGAACTTTGAACAAAACGCCGAGGTTTCACTGCAAAAGCGAGGTGCGTATTAGACAATATATGCACGAACGGTGTTTCACAGTTTTTGCAACCGTAGGCTGTATATGTAAATTTAAGTAAACAGCCACTTACTAATTAACAGTGGGCATTGTGTTGGAAATGTGCACACATGCATCAAGAGATATCACGCTATGGTAACGAACGCTCGCCGTCACACTCCTGACGTGATTCACAGTGAAAAAAAAAGAGCAACCGCCTTGCACTGCCTCTCGTATCAATATGACATATTGTTGGCCTGTATAGTTGGTCATACCAATATATTGTTTAATGCGTCTTCAAAACTTGATATGACTGACCCCCATCGTTGTAGGCACGCAAAAAGGCAGCGCTTACGAAGCAGGATGCAAAGTGGCACTTGCAAGAGGCAACTCGCAAGAGGCAAGTATCGTTTAATTAACAGCCGGCTTACCCTGGAAATCTTACGATTCTTGAAGTCTTCCAGAAAAGGAGGGTCATACAGCCACTGAAGTAGCACACCGCATGGTAGAAAGGCCACTGTAGTATTTATTCATGGTCTCAAACAATGTTCTGCAAAAGCAACAATGAGCTAGCGTGTTACAACAAATAATGATAAGCGCTTACACTATACAATATCCTCCTACGAAGGAGACTTAATGAGCAGAAAACGGCTCTGAACGATACGTTGAAAACTAAAAAAGATTGTTGATCTACCCTCGAAGGATTCAAGAACTCCTTCCAGTTAATATCACTTCATGTTTGGAGAGCTGCGATCAAGGACGACTACAAAAAGAGCAGCGAAATGGGTCAGCTGAGGTAAATATGCATTTTTGCAATCTCTTTTCGCATGAAAGCAACTGCTTGTCATCATTTGATACAGCGACAGACATGTACATATTGTGTAAAGACTCCGACTTTCAAAGCAAGAGCACAATTTACAAACAACTTCAGGTGGCAAAAAATATAACGTAAATATAAGACTTTGCTTTTCGTCACACCGGTGAACGCTCGACGAAAGAAGCTTAACGTTAATTCGAAAGAGTTTCAAAATGCAGCAAACGCATAATATATACGACTTACAGCACAGTAGCATAATTTAATAAACCTCTGATCTTACGGGGGTTTACGAAACTGGAAAAGTAAAACGTTACGTCAAACAACCCAATTATTGTGAGAGGCAAGGGATACAAAGTGTTTATGCATGCAGTGTATATTAGTCAATGTAAGTCTATAACCCACGCAACTGCACATCTACAACGCGAAGCAGCATGAAGTCTTTCAAAAAATAAGCACAATATACATGCAGGAACTACTGTAGACAAAAGTGCATGTATCTTCAATTATGATAGGTATTGCGAATGATATTCGGTGGTGGCAAACCTGTTTGTACAGTCCGCACAAGTTCACTGTATCGTACATAAAAAAAAATTACTTATTCACCTGACTTCGCAGGCATGCGAGTATAATCGACTAGCTACGGTGTACATCATGCTTACGTTCTTGTGAATGCAGGGTAGATCATGAAGGGCGTGATGTCCGGATTGGTCGCTTGCCACGTGGCGATGGCGCACCCCAGTAAAGACAGCCCGATGAAGGCTGCAACGGCCAGCCTTTTCTGACTGCGGAGAGGTTCATGCGCAGGGCGTTAGATGACACACTCATTAGACAACATGCTCACGACATGAATCGAGGGGCGGGCTGCTAGCGTATATGCTCCCGCAGCCTGTGACACTGTTGACAACAGACATGTTCGCTATAGTTATCCGTTCAATGATAACGCTTGTCACGAAGAACACTCGCGAGTGCTAGCTGCTTCCCTGTCTAGTATTCTCTCAGGAAATATACGCGCTTTAAGCCACTAATTCTTCAACCCTGACGTTTTCTTTAACTGCAAAGCTGTTCATTTTTTTTCACTTGGCCTGCAGACCTTGCGAATATGTCTCCACTTTGTTCGCTGAAATCTGCTCTTGAGAACAGCAGTAACTTACGGAGGTCATATTTAGGGAAAACATATTACGACACATAGAGCTGTTCCCGCCGTGGTGGTCTAGTGGCTAAGGTATTCAGCTGCTGACTCGCAGGTCACGGGATCGAATGCCGACTGCGGCGGCTGCATTTTAGATGGAGGCGAAAATGCTGTAGGCCCGTGTGCTGAAATTTGGGTGCACGTTAAAGAACCCCAGGTGGTCGAAATTTCCGGAGCCTTCCACAAAGGCGTCTCTCATAATCAATTCGTGGTTTTGGGACATGCAGGTCAGCAGCCGAGTACCTTAACCACTGAACCACCGCGGCTGGGTGGTTTTACGTTATGAGCAATTGTGTTCAGGCGACACAATATATTTGGCTTTATGTATGCACATGTATAGTTGTATTGGTAACATAAAGTCAACCATGAAACTTATGCGTCGTGTACTGTTGGACATTATTGTGTCAACGTACGCATTCTGTTTTCTGTCACGTTTCCTGGTATTTGCTCTGTTGTCCTTCCGCATTTGTTGTGATTTTTCTAAGCGACAAGGAGTGACTGGTGCCGTGCGAAAACGGCAGCCTATCCGGCCGATAATTTCAATTTAAGACAGACACTAAAGAACAAAAACCTTTGTGAAATTAGGTCAACCACTTTTATATGGGTGTTTGTGTTGCTAGAACTTTTTGGTGTATTCCCGCCTCATGGCGCGGGCCACCGAAACAGAGCCACCGGAATTTATTGCTCTTGCGCAGCTGGCGGCTCGCCGGGACCGAAGTGACGAGAAATGCGCTGCTCTTACTAACACCTCGAGCGTCATCCATAGGAGAAGGAGTTACCGTGACAACATAATTACCACCTGTCGAGGCTACAAAGGGACCATGAGCGTTGTCAGAACGATTTAGGGCTACGTTTATGGGCAGGGGTGGCGTTAGAACTTTTGTATTATTGGGGAAGGGCGGGGGGGGGGGGGGCACTCACGACAAGCAAGTTTCTTCAGGGAGACTGGAACGTATGCGTTGGTTTTTACTTTGCTTGCTCTTAGGGGGGGGGGGGAATTCAAGAGGGAGCAGGCAAAAATTGGGTGGGTGGGGGAGGGGAGGCTTCCCGCTGGCGCGCCGCGTCTGTTTTCAGTGGGACTCGTTTAAGAAGGCGTTTGACTCAATGCCACATCTCATTGCATATAAGTGTAGTTTTTGCGACATTGCATTGATGGTTCGCATGTGCCTGTAAAGAGAATTACGATTAATCGCTTGCTGCAACTCAAAGTGCGGGAAGGAAGAAAAAAAAATACAGAGGTCGCGGAAGAGAGTGGTGTCCAACTTTCAAGAGGTAGGTAAGGCTCAGCCTTGTGTCGAAAATAAGTATATATTGCAATCACTGATGCTGAACACGAGCCTCGCCATATCAGTATCAGAACTTATCGTTGCGCTATCATATAAGCTTGCATGGACTCACCCTTTGAACAGCAAAAGAACCAGAAGGGCGACGATGAAAGCTGGAAATCTGCAGATATGTACCATAGGTGTATCATCACAGACTGTGAACAAAGAAATAATAAATATGCAAGTAAATAATAAACATGGTTGACTGCAACATGTATTTATATTGATAGGAAATATAGCTGTTCTTTTGTTTTCTTCGAAGAACAATGAAGAGAAATATACGCTAACTTCCAATTATGAATTTCAGTTGGAGAAGGGGAGGTTCAAGATACTTCATGTGTGTTGTGCGAGGGTTTGTTTGTGTGCGTGTATATATATATATATATATATATATATATATATATATTATATATATATATATATATATATATATATATATATATATATATGCACGTAAAATTTAAAAAAAAAGGGGGGGGGGGTGTTTGACCCTGCCCTGAATACGCCAGTGGCATGCGTATAGAGTTTGAAATTTTTCGTCATGATATGCTTCTACAAAACAAAAAGAACTGATGTAGGAAAAGCAGTGAGGTTAACCGAAGATATGCTTTTTCTGTGCTACCATGCACAGCAGTGTTCGCCTCAACATCTTCGAGTGGCGCCTTCTTGCGTGTGACGTCATCGCTGTTGCTCAGGTGCCCAATGCGGCTGCTGGGCGTTGCCGACCGGTGTGCGAATTTAAAGCATATGACGAGTGACGCGTGGTGTCATTCGAATAAGTGAAGTGATCGTTACAGGAAACAATTAACCTTTGATTAGATGCAAGTTTTAGGCAGCTGCTGTGTAAGTGCGTCGTCAGTACTTCAGGCAATCGGGAGGTTTTTACCATGAGGGGAAAGAGGATGCACGACGGGGTTGTGAAATATTAAGAGGCTTTCTCACGTTCTCTTGTGCAGCATAATTTAATCTCTACGTTGATACATCAACGTTTTCTGGCTCGTTTACGGTCGTCTGAAAGTGCACCAAGGAGAAACCGCCTGGACATACTAACGTAAATATATACAAGGCTTTCGCATTGCGAAGTCGTAACATGATCGTATCTAGATAAAACAGTGTAAATCACTCTCACAGTCGAGTCTTATTACAGAATAAGGAGCATTCATTGTTCAAAGTAATATTCCATCTTGTCAAGAGAGATAAGAATAGCAAAGATCGGCCAAAGGGTCCAGAAAGAGGGTGAAAAAGAGCACTCTTTCTCCTCGCCTTGGCATTTTACAACAATATTCCCCAATTTTACCAAAGCGTACTATCGGCGTGTGGCGGCTTGGGCTAGTTGGTTTGGCATGATAGATATAGCGCGAGAACAAAACGACGACACAGAGACAAGAAGGACACTGGCGCTCGTGTCCTTCGTGTCCTTCTTGTCTCTGTGTCGTCGTTTTGTTCTCGCGCTATAACTATTGTCATCCTATCGGCGTCAAATAAAATGCGGAGTGCATGGACCATTAACAACGGTATAAAGCGCCCCGGCTGCGGTTGTCTAGTGGCTAAAGTACTCGGGCTGCTGACCCACAGGTCGCGGGCTCGAATCCCGGCTGCAGCGGCTGCATTTCCCACGGAGGCGGAAATGTAGGCCCGTGTGCTCAGATTTGGGTGCACGTTAAGGAACCCCAGGTGGTCGAAATTTCCGGAGCCCTCTACTACGGCGTCTCTCATAATCATATGGTGTTTTGGGACGTTAAACCACACATGTCAATCAACAACGGTATAGTGCGCTCCGTACAGTCGATCACATTTGACATGCACGCACATCCAGCTAGGCAGCATTACAAGTACCACCAGCAGCATTGCGGATTGAAATCATGAACGTGCATGGTGCACGAGCAGCGAACATGCCATGAGCGCATCTCGAATCGGGAAGCTGCAAACTGCACCACGTGCGCCGCTGCTCAAATTTCATTCGGCGCTGATAGAACGTGTAAAAAGATTTAATATACGGGGCAAACTCTTCAATTTCACGCTGGTTGTCCGCAATAATTCACTTGACGGTGAACTTATCAATTTATTTGTCGGTAAACGTTTTGTACACACTTTTGGACATGACTATACAATTGGAAACGAAATGAAATTTTCGTCCAAGTCAAGTGATGCTTATATACAACGCCTAATTTGCGAATAAGCCCTCAAATTGGTCGCGCTTCACTTTCAAAGAAGCGCAGAGTCTCGTTAGCTGGCTTGCCGAGACGCTCGCGCTTTCGGTAAGATATTTCAACGTCACCTATAGCCCAATGATTTACAATATACCCAACTCGGGTAATGATTCTGACTGCGATGGCTATAGAAATTACATTAAATGTAAACGTTTCTTGACCTCCTGTGATGCTGGCAGCCATCTGTACAGAACTAACACAAGACAATACAATTACTAATCGAGGATCGCGGCGCCACACGAGTGAACTATAATGAAAATTCCACTGTTCTAGCCGGAGGCTATGTCAGACGCCAATAGCTGCATCCCCCGGATTGCATCTCCGGAGGGCCGTTCGCAGCGCCGCCATCGTTAGCGCGAATAGAGTGTGTATTTCAGTTGCGCAAAATGTACCAGTGATCTCGGAGATGGACCACGACAAAGTGGCTGGGTCGAGCTGGCATAGCCGAAGCTGGATAAACGGGTCTGCTAGTCGCCATGATGGAATGGCCAAAAAGATGTCTGCTGTCAAGTTCCGTGTTGTACTTCGGATATACCCCCTCCCCCTTATCAATGGTGTCACGGGGAGACGCCAATATATATATATATAAGGGAAAGAAGTGTATACCTAAGGGCTCGTTTTTCCGTGTTTTAACACAATATTAATGAGATCTAACAGACAGTAATGCCAAGGATTGTACAGGGGAAGTTATTAGAACCAATGGAATGTAAATAAGAAGAAAGAAGAAAGTAAAGTGGATGAAAAAATAACCAGCCGTGAGCAGGAATCGAACCTACGACCTTCGAATAACGCGTTCGATGCTCTAACCACTGAGCTATCACAGCGGCCTTCCCTTCATCCACTTTTTTTGGGGGGGTTTATATGTGAATTTAGAAGTAGGAGTGGCAGTCAGCGCCATCTATATATATATATATATATATATATATATATATATATATATATATATATATATACATATATATATATATATATATATATATATATATATATATATTATATATATATATATATTATATATATATACATATATATATATATGTATATATATATATAACCTCCAGCAGAATAGAGCAATCTCGATAACTGACGTCGTCATGGCGATCCAGCTTAAGCGCTGAGACAACGAAACATAATCTTCCTCTCAGCCTGACAAATACCTGCCCTCGGGTAGGATCATCTTCTTCCCTAACTTTTATATATTTATGACCGCGTATAAACGTTAATGCTGCCAATACGCGGCACATCAATGATTTGGTATACGCCACCTCCCTTTACCCCAGGAGTGCACCAACGCTATACATTCGAGCTCTCAATATATTAAATTTCGAGTGCTCTTACCCTTTCGGTCATGCCAAAGAAATTTCTTATCGGAATGATCAGATGCCACCAGTTTTCCGCAATTTCTTCGTCGAACTTCTGGAAGAACGATTTCGCATCCGGTCCGGTTACGAAACGTGGAAGCATGAAGATGCACGTGATGACAAAGAAGACTGGAAGGCAAGTCCTGCGGCGAGGATGAAAAGAGAACGTGACAAAAGACAAACTGTGAGCGTATCCACGCCTCTCCAAGGGCCATCTCACTCGCGGCGCAGCGCTGGTAATCTTAAAGTTCAGCGTTCCTCAGCTGAATAACGGGGGTTCGATCGCCAGTCAGAGAGGCTGCTGCATTTATTTTCAGATGATGTAAGCAACATGTGCGTGCGCATATAGTAGCGTCACAGGGTTACTTTTAATCGCGATGGTTCGGATGACATTCTTTGACCGCGTGACTATATCATTCATGCAAGCTGCGGAAGGAAGCCAGTCACCACTGAGAAATTTGATCCTGATCGGGCTTTAATCGTGATCAGCAGTGCACCATGTGACATCGGCACTAAGTTCACGTTAATGAACACCAGGTTGTTGAAGTTATTCTGGAGTCCGCCCACAATGACGTGCCTAAGGGCCACGTCATTCTTATGGCTGGTACAATCCGACGATTGCTTTAGACGTTTTTTTTTTAAGCGTTTAACTTGCAGGCTTGCAGTTGTGCGCCTAAGAATAGTTCTATATATTTAGCGGGTAAAACAAAATACAATGATGACTGCGCCAATACAGAATCTCACGGCCTATTATTGGTGTCTCCCTGTCTGGCGGCTTCTCACAATGTCGTGTGTGAATTACGAACTTTTCTTTCCTACAAGCGGGCTGCAGCTAACTTAACTTACAACTTCTTTTGCCTAATAAGCTTACAAATATGGACGATATAAAAACATAGACTCAACATATACTATGGAGCCTGTATAGATTGTTCAACCGTAAACTGGTTTTGTACTTAACTTCATCAGATTTGAGCACAGGACCAAGAGACTATACATTAAAGGGACCCAAACTTTTTGAGCATGCTCAGAAAACGCGGTCGATTGGTGGTCGAGGCTCTTGAGAACGCTTGAGCCAAACTTTATAACGCGGCACGTGGCCTGAAATTCACAATTGATTCACAGTTAGCTAGAAATCGCTCTTTCTCCTCTCGACAATTATCCCATAAACAGAAACGGCGGCGCCACAACACCACAGACCGTGGCAGTTATGATCGGGGCACGCGAATGATGGCCAGTCGGTAGACGGCGCCCGATGAAAATGGAAGTTAATGAAAAGAGGCTGCCCAGACGTGGACTAAGCCGTTTTCCTCGGACCCCGTATTTGTCGTCCAACCCCGTGAGCCTTTGTTCACCGCACCTTGTGCTGGGGAGTCACCCGCACGGCGGTAGCGCTCTCACGGTGAGCCAGACTGAGAAATAAGTGGTCGCTGTCGCAACATGGCTCCCAACAAGATAATGTGGCGCCGCGCTGTAACAATACGTGTGGATATACGGCAGAATCGTGTCCACTAACTCCAGACAGCCGACCGGCCGTCTAGACA